AGCCATATCCGTAAGTAAAACAGAACATAAATATCATAAATGTCATAAATGTCATAAATGTCAAAGATCTTCACTTTTGCTAAATAGAGACTTTACTCGGTGGTTGGAATACAGAGTAAAATTACCTCTTGGTAATAACAATTTACCCATAGGTAAACTTTACCAATAGATGAAACAACAGATATTGATATTTATCTAATGGGTGATTGACGGGTAAATCTACCAAGAAGTTGGAACAACCGGCCCTGAGAGCTGGCACACTGTATAAAACTAATTATTTCGAGGCAAATTTCTTTTTTTTCTTTATTGACTTAGTGTCTATATTCCATCTAGGCACAGTGTCTGTCTCCTAAACTAATAATAAGCTAAAGAGGCAAGTTTATTTTTCTATTAAATCATTAAATTATGATTATTATTTTTGTTCGACTTTGTCCAGTTCTATCTTTTGTGTCTCTTTTTTTGTCTTAGTGGGGTATATAGCTGGTAAATAACTCGTTTGTGCGTAAATCATGCGTTCCTTACTAGTATTAAAAAACGAGAGAGATCTGCTGTGCTGCATGCAATTCAATTATATATAATTAAAAATATATGATATACACTATATATTATTAATGGTTATTAATATGTAATTTGTGAGAAACTTTTGCGGTATAGTTTTACTGCTAAAATAATAAAAATTATATAGCAATGTTTGTGATGTTTCACATCATATTCTTTAGTTGCTATTATAATTTTATGTAGACAAAATATCTATTTTGATTTTTTTTGTCTGCATATGCATCATTTAGAAAATTCAATTATATGAAAAGTTATGTGAAAGTTATATGAAAAAGTCAATATAATCTAATTATATTTTGGCTCATAAATATGATATTAGTTCTTGTATGTTTGATGAAATTTTTGGTTAACATATTTGAAGGAAGGATGGAATCAATTTCCTAAATTTTTCATATACCCTGAAATTTTTAGATTTATTTTCAAAAAACCTTTTGTCCCTTTCTCTTAACCCTTAAATGCGCAATTTTTCGTAGCATTTTAGTACACAGAACATCAAAAAGTCGCTTTGCATATATGCAAAGCTGCACATTTAAGGGTCAAAACTTGTATATTGTTGTGTATAATGCATTATTTATACTTGTTTTATGGATTGCTATAAAAAAGATACAATTTTTGATGGAGTGACATTTCTGAACATTTACCATTACATTTCAGTGTAACATGGAGACATTTTGCGGTAGACAAAAGGGAACCTTCATTTATATACATAATGGATATACATACAATATTGATAAGCGGATGAAAAACACATATCGATGTTCAAGCCGCCGTTCAACAGGATGTCCTGGCGTTGCAAAAGTAATTGATGGGCAAGTGCATGTACAAACTCTACATCAACATCCACCAGATACTAGAAGGTTGGAAAAGTCTAAAATGCAAAGTGAAATGTTACGTTTATCAAGAGAATCGCTTCTACCACTAAAAGAAATTTTTGATAATGTTTGTCGAACGTATGTTGTTTTATATCATTAATATATATATATATTAATTACAAAGTTAATTTGATATTTTTAATGCACTTTAATTTAACAACATTAATTAATTTAGAAATCCAGAAGTAGCTGCAAATATATCGTATAGTTCTATAAAAAGTGTAATGGCTCGAGAATGAACAAAGATCTCCTATATCACATACCTTTCAAGCCTTGGCTACTGATTTAATTAAATACGAGTGGATTAAAGATTTTTATAAAGGAAGTGTAGTTGCACAGGATGGTAACATGGCTGTTATATTTTCGAGTGAAAAACTTATTAATGCCTTGAAAACAACCACAGAAATTTTTGTCGGTGGGACATTTTCTGTAAGATGTTTTTTTGGAAAGAATATTTCCTTTTTTGGTTTTTGAATTCATTAATATTTTATATTTTTTAATATTATTTTCAAAGTAATAGCTTATATATAATAATAATAAAAGAGAAATTATATTATTATAATATTTATTATTTTAGATTATTTATCATTTATAGGTTGTTCCTCGCAATCCACACATGATTCAATTATATACTGTTCACATACGTTATAAAAATACAGTACGTTATATTATTATAAATATTTCTTATTTAAAAAAAATTTTTATTAAGTAATTTAAAAAAGAGAGTAGGTCCAGATGTGCATAGAATAAAACAAATAGCGAGTTTGGATAGTACGGATAATAAGAAACAAACTTAAATAAATTTTATCCGATCTGTTATGTCTGTTTTATTTTGTGCACATCTGGGGCCATATTCTTGAAAAATATCGCATACGATATTTGTCATTGCGCAATTAAAACGTATCGGAAAATAACTGCGCAATGATAAATATCGTATGCGATATTTTTCAAGAATATGGCCCCTGAGCTTTGCTTTTTATTCACTTAAGATTTTTGATAACAGGGTATTGCTGTTGTCTTTATATTATGTGAGACACGAACAGTTGCTCTTTATCAGGCAATATGGGAGAAAATAATTGAAATTGCTCCAGATTTGAAAAATAATGTCAGATTTATAATGGGGGATTATGAACGCGCAACAAATAATGCCCTTCATAAATGTTTCCCCGAAACCAGTTTAAAAGGATGCTGGTTTCACTACAACCAAGTAAGTGGATTTGAGATAGGATATCATTTATGCTCAGTTACATTATTATTTATTCATGTGACAAATCTTATTTATTAAATTTTTAAATCTTGTTTATTCTTTTTTTTTAATTCAAAGGCTGTGTTGCGCAAGTGGCGACAACTTGGTTTAAAAAATGCCCCAAGAAAATTAATAGCAATGGTTATGTCTGTACCATTAATACCAGTCACTTTATTTGAGCAATGTTTCACAATATTACAATATATAGCTGATACCATGTCTAGTGACTATCCTATGGTATTACAATTTATGTCCTATTTACGTAAAACATGATTGCCCGCAGCAAATAAGGTCTCTGTGTATGGCTGTCCTGTTCGTACAAATAATATAGTTGAGAGTTTTCACAACACAATTTCAAAGAAATTTGGGAGTAGACATCCAAATGTGTGGATATTTATTGGATGGTATTTTATCTTATAACAGTAGTATGTAATACACATATATTTATTGGTTGGTATTTTATCTTATAACAGTAGTATGTAATACACATGTTATACTAATTTATTTATTTTATATTGCAGAAAATTTGAAAAAAGTAATTATTGATCAGGCAATTGATCTTAGTCGCTTACAGAATAATCTTCAGGCACGTAGAACTCAAACTCGAGCCAATAGAGAAAGAAATAATATAATATTACAGAAACAAAAGGATCTTGTAGAACATAAGTAACGGATCAGTTATAAAATAAAACTAAGCTTGTGAAAAAAATTATTTTCTATATATAATTGTGTGTTAATGTTAATATCTAGAAATAAATATTTATTTTTTACAGATTACCACTTAATGAATTTTTAGACTCATTTAGTCGCTTTTATGAAACCTACTTATATAATATGGACATAATCGATGAAGGTTATTATTTTTCGAAGTTCAAGAATATATAGCACAAAAATATATATAAAATATAAGCTTTCGTGCTTAAAAAATCCGGCAGAATTACATGAAAAAAGTTAAAGCTATCAAATGTTTTTGATTTATAAATATCAGTTTTATTTTTTATGTTTAATAAAATATTTTATATAAGTTTATACTTGGCGTTGCGACGCTACCGCGTCGCTTGATTGTAAACTATCGCTTCAATCAGTCACATTTTTATTGCACTTTGACGCAGAAAAGTTGCCAATTTCTTTTGTTTTTAAATATATATTATTATTAGTCGTATTTAAACAATTAAATATTTATTTGAATGTATATGCTTTTTTATAAATATAAATTATGTAGAATATTAGAAAGTAATTTAGTAAGTAAATATTAAACGAAAGAAATAGACAACTTCCCATGAATAGAAATGTGTTTGATTGAACCGATAATATACAATAAACTTATATAGAATATTTCATAAAATAGAGCAAATCTGATATTAATGATATTTTTGATTTCCAAAAAAAATTTGATTATATTGACATTTTCAACTAATTCTATTAGATTTTTTAAGCAAGGTTTTCTTGTATTACAGAGATTATAACCCATGAAAACAATGATTATGAAGTTTGTACCAATTTTCTATCAGAAAATTTTAATTCTATGTCGGAGGAAAGTATGTATTTTTATTTATATCAAATCACGAGTACTTTATATTACTCTATTATTAATTCGTACCTTTTCAAACATTTGTGAAGCTCTGAGAATTGCTAGCTGTAACATAAATACAAACACTGCAGGAGATTCACCTACATTAACGCAAAGACAAGATTCTGTTGAAAATGAGCGATTATTCTCGCAAATCCTAAGAAATAGATATCCTGCTGCGCAAGAAGAACTATTCATCCGAAAATGCAACTAGTACGGATATTATAATAGATATCGACGGTGCAGAATTTACTTCAGCTAGTCCAGTCACAATGGGTGATGCACATAATCAAAATACAAATACCATTCCCAATTTACCACGATTTGATAACGATGAATTTGATGATGGTATGAATTTAGATATATGTTACATTTTACTAAACATTAAATACTGTCTCTATAGTACTTTAGTTTTTGATTGTTATAACACATCATTTCAAACATTTTCAGAACACATTTATACCATTCCAGAAGATGACTTTGGATATTGGTACGAAGATCAGGAAAATATTGTAGAAAGTGACATCCCGTATCACGAAGTTAAAAGACTTTCTCTGGAAACATGCAAAGAAAATCAAGGAGCAGTAAGATCTGATCGTACGTGCACTGCTTGCATTAATGCTGAATCGAATCAAATTTTCATACCATGCGGTCACATCTGTTGTTGTGAAGATTGTGCTAATCATATTATGCGAGAGAGCGATAATGTTAAAAAATGTCCAATTTGCAAAGGAGAAGTTTCGTCGGTCTATAAAGTATATATACCATAAATAAGTGTTTGCACCTTATTCTAAATATAAGAATGTTTAGGATTGTGGTCTGCAACTTTTTTAATACACAGTCTGAGACATTTGTCGATCATACTTTGAAAGATAACCGTTGATTCGTTTCCAATCTGGTGTTATATTGCTTAAATAAGAGATAGTTATATAATCCCAATATAAATTAGGTGTAACAACCGTTACATTACAAGTTATTCCCATGTTATATAGCAGTTATATTCTGTGTTTGCTGGACAGTATTATACTAAGTATTCTCTACAATGCATAAAAGACTGAGATATGCAAGACTGAGATATGCTAGTCTGAAACTACTTACTACTAATTTTTCACAATGCTTTAAGATAGAGTCTAACCACATAAAAATAATTAATTTTTTTTTTATATAAATTTATTTCTACGTTAACTATTGATAGGATTATATTTTGTTTTAAATAAAGCAGAACAAAGTTTTTCTTTCCAGATGTGAAGTTTATAAAATGCGTTTAGAAAATAAGTTTTATTTTGTTTCATTCTCGTACTATATGTATATGTGGAATTAAGATTTATTTTATTACTAGTTGTGTGATTGTGCAATATAAGCTTTAATTATTTTGTCGATGAGAAAATTATTTTTGAAGAATTAATTGAGATTTTGGATTTCAATCCTTCTTATATAATTCTAGTATTGAGTAAAAATGTGTAATAATTTGATTATTAATAATCTAGTTTTATTTCGTTAATTATATCATAATGCATAAGAAAGTGCGCAAAAGAAATGTGCGCAAAAGAAATGTGCGCAAAAGAAATGTGCGCAAAAGAACTATGCGCAAAAGAACTGTGTGCAAACGAACTGTGTGTAAACGAACTGTAACAAACGTTTATTTACCAAATAAAGTAAATAATAAATATCAAAAAATTTCAAAATTATACATGCATACATGTGTGTGTATGTATTCCAAATTATACAAAAATATGTGTTGTGTCCAAAAACAACGTGTCCAATTGAACGGTGTGCAAATGAAATGTGTCCAAACGAATTGTGCGCAATTGAAATGTGTCCAATCGAACGGTGCGCAACTCTATGTGTCTAATATCACAGTGTGCAATTGCAACGTGTCCAATTGTACTGTGCGCAAGTGAAGGCTTCTCGGATAAATTGGGTAGTATCCTACGGCGAATCCCAAAACGATAGATCTCTTATCCCGTACTTACCCACATAATATATATTTTTAATTAACATTATTATTAACAATATATTTTTTACAATATTACTTAACAGTAAGAGTACATATTTTGCTCTATTTTTATTTTAAAATGCAAATTTTGTCCAAAAATTTAAATTAAAAACATTTTTATGATTTTTTACAATTATTAAAATTTTTAAATAACTTATAATTATCCCATAAATTTTCTGTATAAATTAAATTACGTATTAATTAAATTACATTACATATAAATTTAATTTAATTTAATTTAATTACATATTATAAACTTTAAAATAATATATACGTAATAATATTAACTTTATAGAAATTAAATTTACATCTAAAATCTAATATATACAATAAAAATATAAGTTGACATAAGATAAGTTGACATATCTAAAAAAAACTAAAAATATCAAATTCGCATATCTAACAACAATAAGATACATTCATAAGAATTTTACAATTAAAGGAAGTAATTATCCCATAAATTTTCTGTATAAATTAAATTACGTATTAATTAAATTACATTACATATAAATTTAATTTAATTTAATTTAATTACATATTATAAATTTTAAAATAATATATACGTAATAATATTAAATTTATAGAAATTAAATTTACATCTTAAATCTAACATATACAATAAAAATTAGATGACTTCAAAAATGACTTCAATCTTTTTTCTAAATATAAATTAAAAATAAAATTTTTAATATTAATTTTAGTTTAATATTTAACTCCTGTTTTCTTAAAAAGATTTATAAATTAATAAAATTTTTACTCATGAATTTACAAAAATTCATTAATTTAAAATTATGTATCAAATCTATTTTTTACTTATATGTTACTATCTGTATAATTTAAATAATTATAATTAATCTTAATTACTAATTTATTACTAACTTAATTAAATTTACATTTAAACTTGTTACTAACTTTAGAAAACTTATCACCTGACACATAACATACCATATAAAATATATCTTTAAACTTTGACTATTAGCTATAAACTATAAAAGAAAGAAAGAAAGTAAGAAAAAACACTATAAACTATAAACCTAAACCTAAACTAAAGTTATAACTATAAATTATAAACTATAAGCATATACGTATACTATTATTTAAAACGTACAAATTAGAAGTTAAAAATGTACAGCTTAACGCCTAAATAAACCCATAAAAGAAAAGGAAACTGAAACGTCAGGGACCGAGGTCCTCTCTATATCTAATTCTAATTCTAATTGTAAGTCTTAGTCCTAATCTAAGTTCCGTACTTATTATACATCTAATACACAGCAGATTTATAGCCAAAATTACTAACTATATTTCTTTAAATAAAATTAAATTTTTTAATAAATTTATCCTAATTCTAATATCCTAATA